GGGAGAACTAGGTGAAGAAGAGCAACACTTATATAGATTTCTGGATATGAATTTCTCCACCAACAAGAGACTCCACTTGATGTTTTTACAGCCCCTAATATGTGTTTTCCTTCCACAAGCATGGGATAATCTCTTGAGTATTTGGGGTAAGGCCACCTATCTAGCCTAGGGTTTTGCATGCAATAGATTGAATGGTATTATTTTAGTAAATTCTAGTTTAATGACTCGCTAAAACACAACTCCTAACAATGGCCAAGTGTAACCAATGAAAGGGACTGCAGTATAGTGGCACAAGTAATAAATATCAAATCCACAAGTCTCCAGAGTTACTATTACTCAGCTTCATTTTGTTATCTAGCAAACCAGATTGGGACAGAAGAACTATAACTACTCTAGCAAACTACAGTTAAAGTTAATCTACTCACACGTCGGGAACTCACTTAGGTATGTTTCTCCCTTGCTTCTCAATTACGTCCAAGTTGTAATTACTTTTAGTTATTTTTACTGATGATTATACTGTGAAAGATTCGATACTGGCTTGTAATCTCTTAAGCTAACGAAACCCTCTTAGACAAAGTACCCAGCGGGCAACTAACCTCCACCGGAGTGCAATGTTAAGGCAATTCGCAAAGATCTACTCTACTAGAATGATTCCCAATACAGTGTAATGAATGGATTTACTCTCGCACAATCAATTCACTAATTCCAATCGAAAAAGCTCTCTTAACCCAATCAGATTCTTTCTCTCCTAGGTTAAAGCAGAAATCAAGAGAATGTGATCAATATCCTATTGACTCAAATAATAATGCTTCAATTGAATAAAACAAATCAGTATAGCATCCAAAGGTTCATACAAGAAAGATCCTAACATATGGAACTAGGGTTCCTCAAACCTTAAGTGAAGGGAACTTACTCCATAGAGAAGAGAGAGAATGCATAAATATGATCTAAATCTTCAATCTTCATCTCCAACCTTGATTCCCGAGCTCCCATGGCGAAGAAATCCTCCAAAATAGCTCTAAGAATGCTCTCCCCTTCAAAAATCGCAGGAATTGTTTTTTATACCCGAGCAGAGGGAAGAAACACGGTCGTGTTTCTCATCTTGTGCTTCTCCTACCCGTGTTTCTTCCTCAACTCCACTTTCAAGTGGCCAAAAGACATCCGATTGACCCAAAACTTGCGCATATGTCTCCCTTTACTTCCTAGGATCTAAAATATGACAAAAGAGCACAACCTAGCATAAAATAGGCCTAGGAGAACACAAATTAATCCAAAATGATCAAGAAATGAGGGTGTAAACATGTGTAAATATGGTGTTATCAAAATCTGCCACACTTAACCATTTGCTTGTCTAGAGGCGGAGCCTGGATTTCTTTAAGACATAAGTTAAGCTTGGCTACCATTAGACCATAGAGCTATTACACGATAAGATTTACAGAACAAGTTCTACTTATAAAATTTGTACTAAATATCCACAAGGACCTAGGGGCCGTGACCAATCCAGGGGGCGATGCTCACCTTAGCCACAATGTAGCTCTGCCTCTATGCTTGTCCCCAAGCAAACCAAGTCAGAAACTAGGTAAGCTCAAAACATTTTAACCATGAAAACTTCAGGAACGTATCATCGAGGCACAAAACACATGGATCGTATTGGCTACTAGACATCAACACATGTGCAACAACAACAACAACAACAACAACCTGGAAAACCACCACATATGACATTTGAGTGTAGCAAAATTGGGTAAAAGAAGTGTCTCTCTTGTGTCCACCAACCAACATAGACTCGAGTAAACCACTCATATAAAACAGTCACTCATGCATGGAAATCAAGACATCAAAATCAAGAACGAGCAATCTAGGTCCTCACAGTGATAGGTAATATGGAAAAATGAATCACTCACTCTCGACTAGTGGGGTCAGGATAAAATTTGATGCAAAATATGTGCATACTCATACTCCCAATCCCTTTCATCTCTTCACCATGACGACAGCCTCTAAATGTTAAAGTTCACATTTCAGGTGTCACCACTAACTTGTTAGGAGGACTTGACCGGGTTCAAATGCAGCTGGTTAGGATCTAGGACACGAGGAATAAGATTTTCAGGTGGTGGTAACATTTATGACACAAGGTTCCAGAGTTCCAACCCAACACCACAACATTCAATCACACCAATTACTTTCTCTCTACTATCCTGCATTCATCAAGCTCTTTAGAGCACAAGAATGAAGGAGGTAACAACATGTTAGTATTATCAAGCCAGTCTGCTCAGAAACACTATTTACTAAGCATGATTTAAATTTTTGTGGCAGCTCTCTTTCGTTTGCATTCTTTTTTAATATTTCCTTTTTCTTTTAGAGAACCACAACTCTTGTCATTTCTTAATTTTTTCCAAGCACATGCCTAGCTTTTAAGTACTGCCTCCAACACTCAATTTATTTCCAACATAGAACATGCAGAAACCACTATGTAGAACCTCTAAGAGATGCATAAGGGTGTTTTTCATTATAGACACGAAGAAAGAAAGTTACACAACTCAAATGGGTTTACTAAGGGGTATGACACACATGGTCAATCAATTTGTTTGTGGGTTAATCCCATGCCTCCATCTTCCTAATTAGTGGCAACGTGAATGCTACACTTCATGCTAAGAAGGATCTATCGCAGAAGTAAGAAATGAGCAGGTTCATATCTCACATGGCTACCTATATGCTCTATCTCTCATTCTGATTCCTTGACCTCTATGCATAAACGTCGGTCAGAAATTAGTGATAAATCCAAGTCACAGTTGGTAAGCAAACAGTTGAAAACTGAACCCCTACACAACTCTACTGCACGTCTTAATCATCATTATAGGTTGTCTCAATAAAAAACGAGTTATTCATGCATCAATGCTAACTGCTAATCGATTCACCACACACAAACACAATGCCAATATGAACATGCAAATATATGTATTTGGAGCCCTCAAATCTCAAGATTTGGACAGTGGACTAGGCTCCAAAACAATCAAAACACATCATTTATCATACACATAAATAATGATACACCCTTGCACTTAAGCATGACAATGTCCTCAATGGAGGAAAGATAAGAAGGGTAGAATGAAGTTATCAAATTGGGTAATGAACGATGGCGGATCAACCCAAGGTGCCTTCCATGAAAGAGAGAGTAGGTGGAACCAAAAGCACCACACAAAAGCTTACACTAAAACCAAAGCACAAAGATGACTCAACCGAAGAGAAATAGGGAAATAAATGCAAACTGACTGGTTAGGTTGCCTCCCAACAGACGCTTCTTTCACGTTGTGAGCTGGACGGTGGCTCATAAGTTTTGATCCATCCCAAAACCTCATTGAAGTTGAAGTTCTCAGCGATGAGGTAGAATCTCAAGTCACGAGCAAGTGGTATGACAGGTGATGAAAGCGGCTCATATACTCGAGGGAGACAAAGTTTCCACCCTCTAAACCTCTCCTTTTTTTCTCTTGTCTCATTGCCCCAAACAAAATGACATCAACAATTGACCACCATCGCATCCACCAAGAGGAACCAATGTCAATGTGGGCTTGGTACGGCAAAGAGACACTGCAAATGAGTCCTCACCAGGAAGCTACTCGAAGTTTGGTGGAGATATCACATGTAACTCATGGTTGGTGCAAGCCTCTTCCACCTCAACTTCGACCTTAGCCTGGATGCCAATTGCTTCCTCAACCTCCTTGTTCTTCAAAATGTGGTATCTCCCTTTGGAAAAAATCAATAACTTCTTCTTCTTCACTTACATCGTCCTCTACAATTTCTTCCCCCATCCTTTCTCGCTCTTCTTCTTCCACCAAGGATTGGAGTGCAAGTCGGCATGCAAGTTCTCGATATGATCAGCTTGCATCTCCTCACTCATGCCCGTCTCTTCAAAGCTTGAGGTGTAATGGAGAAAGGTATGGTCATGTAATACAGGACATTCCTGATCATGATCATCACGGGATGCAAACTTCCATCTCCTTCACAATGTCCTCGTAGCATACTTCATCCTCCTCCTCTTCTTGTATGGTAGCAGAAAGGCGATCTTGAGCAAGCTGTGCACAAACTTGCTTAACCCAATTTGTTTGCTTCGCTGAGCGCTGAACAACATCTTCCATTTCACGTAGAAAGGAAGGGTTAGGAGGAGTAACTGGAGGAGCAATGGCTTGGATTAGGAGGTCCATCTTGGATAAGGATCTCTAGGTGTCCCAAGCAATATGCTCGACAAGAAGCTTCAATTTACCGTTCGGATCGGTTCGTGGAGTGTAGCGTGGCTTTGCAGAATGCCTCGTGAAGGCCGCCATGGCTAACTCCAGCTCAAATGACACCTCTAGTTACGGGAGGAGTTCTTCTTGATAATAAGATTGTTCTTGAAATGTCGATGTGTCTGATTTTTCTTCATAGTAGGAGCTGGTACTGAAACCCGAATCCATAGTCTTCTCCTCCTTGATTGTTCCAGGAAGTCTCGGGGTAATACCACTCGGATGGTGGTTGATACCCCCAATGATTGGAGAAGCCATGAAGATCCATGATATAGATCGGCACCAACAAAAACACCCAAGTGAAAAGAAAGGGCGGAAAAGAAAATAGAAGAAAAGAAAGAAAAGCTAAATTAACAAACTTCTGTCTTTCCTAATAATCTAGAAATTCCCCGGCAACGGCGCCAAAAACTTGACTCACCAAAATACAAATCCTAATAATGACCAAGTGTAACCAATGAAAGGGACTGCAATATAGTGGCACACGTAATAAATATCGAATCCAAGGGTCTATAGAGTTACTATTACTCCACTTCAGTTAATTATCTAGGAATCCAGATTGAAATAGAAGAACTATAACTACTCTAGAAAACTGCATTTAAAGTTAATCTAATCACAGGGGTGAACTCACTTAGGTATGATTCCCCCTAACTCCTCAATTAGGCCCAAGTTGTAATTCCCTTTAGTTGTTTTATTGATGATTATACTGCAGAAGATCCGATACTAGCCTGGAATCTCTTGGCTGAACAAGCCCTCTTAGACAAAGTACCCGACAGAGGACTAACCTCCACCGTGTTCCGCCATGTTCATCACCAACACCACATCATCGTCGTGCCTCACGCCATTGGAGCGCTCTACAACCATCCCGTCGAGTCTCTGTTGCTTGACACGCTACGAGGCGTAGTCAGTCTGTCAATCTCTCGAATGACTCCAAAAACTGAGGCCATCTTCCTCTTCTTCGCCACGTTGAAAGCTGTGGATGATCAATGTGGGATTTGGTTCCCTAGAGGCTATCTCATCCAGCGGTTGTTTACCAACAGTTGTGCCTACCATGATGTTCATCATCAAGTAAGTGGTGGGAGGTACAATTTTTCTCTGCCGTTTTTCCCCTTCTGGGACAAGGTTCTGGGGACTCATATGCCCCATGTCGTTTTGAGGCGTCCCGAAGGAGGATACGAGGCAAAGATGGTCAAAGACTTGGTAAACTACAGCTAGTCATCTTGTAGTGTTGCTTCGTTGGATTACAAGTTTGTTGGTTGTAAAATTTGAATAATTTCATTCTTGCTCTTGCAAACCTTTGGCCGGGCCGTTAGCCTTTCTCTTCACTTTACTCTGTCAGTTTGGTCCTCTCTCTATGAATATTATTCACCAGGGGTCGGTTAGCTTGCTGACCCCCTTAGGTTAAAAAATGACACTCCTGTTAATTATAGTTATTTTTTTTGTATTAAATATGATTGTATTTAATAATCTTTGAAAATTAAAAACTCATATGAATTACACATTCATTTTTTTTACACTGATATAACTATCATTGCACTTAAAATAGAAAAGTAATTAATATGAAATTTTAATTCAGACAAATCATTAAATGCAACACAAATTTATTACCTTAAAAGCCTATAATCGGAGGTGTTATTTTTTCCAAACCATTTATGGGTAGTCATGCTATCTAATTCTCACTTCGAGTGATGGGCCACATCGAAGTAATGCTAGTCCTAAGTAAGGATTAGTGTTCGAAGGTTCTAATCCATGCACTTTGTTGGACGGTTTGGAAGGGAAGAAACCAGAGAACTTTCGAAGATAAGGAGACGAATATGGGAGACGACTAATTTAATTTGTAGCCTATCGAAAGATTAATTACTAGCTGATTGGTTAGTAATTAAGCGCATGAAAGGTTCCTAGAGCTACAGGGGGAAAGTTGGTTATATATAACATGTAGAAGGAAATGATACACACAACTGGACGGCAAGCGGACGAAGTATACTGCAGTTATGGGAGTTAATTTATGATAAGTGTCATAAACACATTGTAGCTAGAAATTCATTTAAGATATATAGATCAGATGTTAAGATATCACAACAAAAAAAACCGTTCATGATTATTATATTCCACAACTCATCTTATTCTGAAGTGTTTCTTTACTTTGCTTATTGCAACAAGTGTTTTTTCAACACTTGCGGTGGCAACCGGTAGCTACAAAGACCCCCTAAGTTTCGAGTTTTTGTTTATATTGAATTCATTGAGATTAAAATTTAAAAGTACATAGAGATCACAAAACATACTTTTGATAAAATTATCGACAATAATATGAAGATCTTGTAATCAATTCACAACCACATAAACAAATTTACTCTACATTTTGAGGCCAAGCTGGTGCAAATGTCTCACGTTGGCCTTAAGTGGCTCCGCCATTACACACATAAATGCATTGAATTGTCATATGATGGTATTAGTGTGTGTTTTATGGTGAAAATGATATGGATTTGGGTCGAATTAACTCTGGAATAACTGTTGTGTCATTAACAAGTGTGGTGTGTTTTTGTCAGTTTTAGTTCTACTTTTACAAAAAAAAAAAAAGAGTGCTTACGGATATTCATATTGCACAGGCACAACATAATTTTACAGAGCCATGGATAAAAGCCAATTTAAACCGAACTCCAACGGCTATCAATAACCAAATCTGAACCCTTCATTTAGAAAATACAGATCTAAAGATGAAGAATTAAAAGTAATTTTTATTTTCACTAGCTTTCTTAATTGACTCATATCTTTTTCGTTTTAACTCGGATTTTAATTTTTTTTGCACAGATGGAACGAGTTCATCGTGCTCTACAAAATGAGATCAATTTTCAATATTTTTTGAGGAAAAAAAATTCTGGCCTCTCGGTACCAACTGCATACCATATGGTATCTTCTTCGTTTTTAATTCGTTTTTGTAAACGTTTGCACAGCAGGGACGAGTTCATCATGATCTATTGGATCTACAAATTTCTGGGTGAACAAATTACAAGACCAAAAAATACCACACAATACCATACAATACCACCTTGGTACGGGGTGGTATCTTGTGGTATCTTATGGTATACAATGTTAAAAGTCGTAAATGACAATTAATATACTTCTACTATCATATATTCAACTATCCTACAGTTTTGGTTTGTGTCATACCACCATGGTACGCTTTTCAAACCATAGGTATGCTCTTATTTCAATACCAGTCAATACCATATGGTATAGACTGGTAAAAAATGGCTCAATTTTTTTTGTTCGAAAAATATATCAAAGTGGATATCATTTTGAAGAGCACAATTAATCTGATCTAACTGTGCAAAAAAAAAAAAAAAAAATTCGACTTAGAACGAGTGAGAAATCGTCCGTCAAAGATTAAAGAGGAGAAAATTAAAGGTTTTCCATGAGAGAGAGGATGTTGATGTCATGCTGATGTGGGCAGATTACTCATAGTTACTTACCATAAGGTTACTGACCTGAAGGTTACTGACATGATCCGTTCCCAACTCCAACCTTTGAAAAACCAGTCCAAACTTGTTGGTACCGGCCCGATCGAGAAACACAATTTCAGTGGGCCAGACGGACAAATAAAAAAGCCCTTTTAAACTGGATAGCTTAACATCGCCCTTATATTATTATTATCGCCCTAACTTAAAACGTAAAATTACTAAATTGTCCTTCATTAATTAAACTAAATTCAATAAAACAAATACCCTTCACGACCTTTCCTTCTTCCCCGTTCCTTCTCCCCGCCGTTGCCTACACCTTTCTCCCCGATTCACCACCGGCACCGTCCACCCAGACATCGTTACTTCTCCCCTAATCTCTGCCGCAATTCTTTCTCCCTAGTGCGGATCCTTTCCCTCTCCATTCCTCACACAACGGATCAACCTTCAAGTTTCTATTTGCAATGGATTATTGTAACCATTGTTTTTATTAGCAGTTGGGCCAAATATGTTATTCAAATAAGGTGAAGGCGATCGTCAACGGGGAGAAGAAATGAGTTGTATTCATGTTATTCGATTCGGAACTGGTAGACATTTTGTTTGGCTATCTCACGCTACCCGTGGCCACCATCATCAACCTCTCCCAAAAGCAACCGCCGGTGGTAATGTTAGGCTGCGACGACAATTGTCCAGGGACAGGTCTGCAACGGGGGATTAGTTATGGTTTTATAATCCTTGCATCCGGAATTGGCCAGCGGTGGTGGAATAAAGACAGTAGCTCATGGAAATTTTTATGCACTTTGTTAGAATAAAATATTTTTACCAAAAAATAAAAGGATAAAAAGGTAATAATAAATTATAAATTAGGGCGATTTAATAAAACTAGGGCGACAATTAGCAACTCCCCTTTTAAATGGAGTCCGCTGAATGGATAGGAATTGGACGAAAGGGATTTAATTGGACCGGGCAACTTTGGGGGGAAGCATAATTCTTGAACCGAAGGAAGGAACAGGGCCACAGGGGGTGATTAAAGAATTAAAGGATGATATTTACCTTAGTAATTTACTTAGTGGCTGTGTAATGCTAAATGCTATAATTAGTTGATTTTCACCTTAGCAAATTGTTTACCCTTTTCTAATAATACGTCAACAAATATGTATTACAAAACTAAGGAAAAAATCATACGTCCTAAACTCTAAGATGGTCTAGTATGTTACATATATTTCAACAAATCAGAACCATATGTTATTATTCAAATCAATTGATCTTAACATATATGATTAAGAAAATAGGGTTTGGTTTCGCTCATTAGGGCTTACAGTATATTTTTTTTTATGTAAGGGCTTACGGTGTAATACGACCATTTCCCAAACTCCGACTAATTCAACGAATCAAAATCCTAATACTTAAAGAGTGAACCCTAAATCCTAATTAAATTTAGCTTAGTGACATGATTTAATGAATTATAGACTAATCCTACAATTTGCCGTGAGCCATTTTAATGCAAAATTAAAAAAGATAAAATAAAAGAAAATAACCAATAGAATGCCACCATGTGGGGAGGCTGTAGGCGGAGCCTGTAGGTAAATATCATCCTTACAAAATAACAAAGTTTACAAACATTACAAAACAAATTGACAAATATTACAAAGCATACTAACAGTACAAAATGTCACTATTTACAACACAAATTAGACAAACAAACATTACAAATTACAATATATACAAATTAGTCATATAAACTTTACAAACATAATTAATAAAAATGACAAACTAGAATGATAAAAGATACAAACCGAATTGACACAAAATCATAAAATAGACTTACAAAATAGTTCGACAAACATAACAAAACAGACATTATCGCTAGAAAATCCCCCGTCGCCAGAATCTCCGCCGCCGCTGGAAAATTCGCCAATGACGAAAATTCTCACTCTCTCTCTCTCATTATTACATTACTCTTCATTAAATTGAACTAATCTGAGCCATTGAATTTTAATGAGTAGGAATGATTGAGATTCACTTAGTCATATGACTAAGGATCCCCCTAGTCACCTGATCTTAGCATCTATTATACAGTACTTACACGGAGCGAAGTGGAACTGTTGTAAGGAGGCTCAAAGGACCTGAACTTCAAAGAGAAGACTATCGACGACAGTTGCATGGAACATTGAAATATGTATTTATGCTACCTAGAGGTGGCAATTAGGATCCAAATCCATGAATCCAATCCAATCCATCCACCAAATTATCCACCTAATCCAATCCATTTAAGTCCAATCCATTTGATCCAAATCCAATTGGTGGATTCATGGATCAATCCACGGATCCAAATGACAAATTATGATTTGGTACCTATATTTTTTATATTTTACATTTTGGTACCTAAAATTTATATTTTATACGAAAATATCATCGGAAAATTACATTTTGGTACCTAAAATTTTTCATTATGACATTTTGGTATCTAAAATTTTTCATTATGATATTTTTGTACCAAAAATTTTCAAATTTTACATTTTGGTCCAAGCCTTGGATGTCATTTGGATTAATGGATCAATTCACCAATCCATTTGATCCATGGATCCACCAATCCACGAATCCACGAATCCGATCCAATTGCCACCTCTAATGCTACCTATTCTGTTGGTACTATAAACGAATTAAAAAAAAAAGTATAATGACAAACTACAAACTTCAAATCCATTGCATAGATTCCCAGGTGCTTGAATTGAGAAAACAAACTCATTCAATAATTCA